CTCTCTCTCTCTCTCTCTCTCTCACTCACTCACTCACTCACTCACTCTCTCTCTCTCTCTCTCTCCCTCTCTCCCTCTCTCTTTCTCTCTCCCTTTCGTTCATCCTCATCAACTGTAGCTTCTTCTTCTTCGAATAATATAATATTCGGCGAAAGCGATGTCCAAAGTTTCGTATAAAAGGGCATTCGTGTCACACAGAAACCACATTCGAAATCTCAATCTCTTCCATTGGATTCGCATCTGGTGACAACCAGCTATCTTTCAAAATGAAATTTCTCGTGAGTCTTCTTTTTCACATTTTTCTGACTGTATTAACCTTATCGCCTTTATTTTTATTCTATCAATTATTTAAACTTCTTACATTTGTATAACTTTAGAAACACGCTATATTCTTCGTTGCATTTTCTATGAAAATGATTTCACAAACAAAATAATATATATTGTAGAATATGTATATATGCAATAGAATATATATTTTATATAAATAAATTTATATTAAACACCACTGAAAAATACAAAAGTATATACGATAGTAACTTTTGCGAAAATGATATCTTCTCTCTACGCATATTTTGGGAATTAAAACATTTCCGATATTAAACATCGAAGCTAACGATTCCGATATAATAATTAAATATTGAACCCATTTTGTAAAAAACTACACTATTATTTCAAACTTTACAATACATAAATCTTATAATATACATATATAACTATACTTTATATATTACCTGCTTTTTATTTGAAATATTCATATTTTACTTCCTCCCGTATACATATTCGATCCATTTTGTTTTGGAACGGTTTTTAACGAATTTTCCATCTTACAAAGTCAGTATATCGTTTGTTATGTAATTATTATAGTGAACTATATAACTTTTGGTGATATATTTATTTGCAAACAGAAACATTTACTGTACGTATTTGTGAGTTTTCATAATTTACTTAAACATAGAAGTGCATTTTAAAGGATGACTTTAACATTTTCAAGTTCAAACAAAATTTATATACATTAGGTACAAAGACCTGTCTCATAGTATGTTTAAATTTGTATTATTGGGTCAATATTATTGCTGGAAATGCAACCTTATATTTTCATCTCCACATCTTGCAGTCAATTTAATATTAAATCATTGACGTCCATCCTCGTGTTGCATATAGTAACATTATTTCTATCGTCATTATAAAACACAGTAAACTCGCTTTCATCAGTTCGTAGAACCTTTGTCCATTGATCAAATGTTTACTTACTATGCTTCTGGCTTTTAGCAAACGTCAAGCGTCGTTGTTCAAGCCTTTACGGTGTTCTTGTTGCTTCATTATCCAGAGTTATTCATCTTATTAAAATCGTTTTACAATGTTTATTATCACAGAAGGATTTGCTATAAACGCTTAAACATTGTTAACTTTTCTTTGCCCCATTTTAAATATTAAATAATTTATATATAATTTCATTTAAAAATACAGTAAATAGTTAACGTAAATATATAGATGATTTTTTCTATCAAATTTGATGTAAATATCCATCTAAATATGTATTAATGTTTAAGTACATAATATAATATTGTATCTACAAATTGATGAGAATAATATTATGTTTATAATTGACATATTGATAAAAGATATGAAACTTTTGTTTTAGGTAGTGATCTCTGTTGCTATGTTGGCTATGGCTTCGGCTGATGTGGCTGAGCATCAACCAGTTATCGTTAAACAATCTCAAGATATTTCGCCTGACGGATCCTACTCTTATTCCTACGAAACAGATAATGGAATTTATCATTCTGAAAGTGGAACTCCAGTGGTGACAGATGCAAGGAGCGCACCCGTTGTTGTTACCCAAGGAGAGTATCAATATACATCCCCCGATGGTACACCAATTAAGGTGACATATGTTGCCGATCATAACGGATTCCAACCACAGGGCGAACACATTCCAGCTATTTCTCCATTGATTCAAAGGGCTCTTGAATATATCAGAACGCATCCACCACAAGCCGACCAGCCTAACCTATAAATTCACGTTCCGCTTCCTTTACCAACTTCCTCCACGTCGCCAAATGAGATTACATTTTGTACATAACAAGTGCACGATAATAAACATTTATTGAAAATTCTTATGATAAAGACATTACTCCTTATCGTTCTTTGCTTTAAATACATATACATATAACAAGAATTACGTGTATAACGTACATATAACTAGAACACGTATACAATTTTAAATTAAAGTAGAGAAACACTCGATAACACAAGTGCGAGTTGTTACACGTTACACACTTCTGCATAATTAGGCTCCAAATGAAATTAGCCGTCATTGTACTAGAACAACACTTGCTAATGTAGAATGAATAATAAAAAAAGTATCTTGAATTTGAAATTGCTGTAGATAAAATACTTTTCCAACAATTACGTTTCACGTTCATACGTTACCTACGTATTCTATATTTATAAAAGTTCATTTTTATTTATTCATACGTCATCGTTCTAAAACGAAAAATAGATTTTAGAAAACTCAACAGATCTAGTATAATTTCCTTGCTTTTCTATATCACTCTTAATCGTTTCATTATAAAGTAGATATTACTATAGTAGCACAACGTCAAACGCTCGCTATATTCTAAAGCTTAAAATTCCGACAATTGTTGGCAAACTCTCGTCAATAGCGATGCGCAAGAGCGAACGCAGCATTTCTGCTGCGCGGTATCCTTGTCCTCGCCGCAGTGATGGCAGAGTCCCGTCACCTGCGTCATCCGAAAGGTAAGCGGGTTCCCATCAGTTCTCCCAGCTCAGAAGTATCGTCTCCATCACTCGGTAGCCCGTACCACCCGCTTTGCCAACTAGCTGGGATCGCTACGGCCCTCTGGTTTCCCGGACGTCCAGGACCGCCCGCCTGGCAGGATCAACTCCCGATCCTGGACCCCTTAGGTGCTCGTAGACCTGAGTACTAGAGTCCGAAGCTCGAACGGAAGCAACGCTGCCAGATCAGTTGCCGTTGCATAGGACACCGTCCGGTATCCCCTCGTATCCCCGTCTTATGCACGCTTCTCAGCAAGAGGAGACTGCGACGGCTCGCCACCAGATCACCAGCAGTTCACACCGGGTCATCGTACGATGGGACCGGACGACACTCTCGTTCCAAGCTCAAAACGCGGCGCGAACGTTCGTTGACTGTTGTTCATCGCCTCCACTCGGTCCAGACCCAGGACCCACGTTACAGGAAGCCACCCTGGTCGCGTCGTAGAGTTCCCTCTCCGAGAGTTCCCTCTACAACTAGCAAGGGAACGTCCTCAACCCGAAAATTCAGAAAATTATGAAACTTCAGAGATATGTATAACGCGATTTCGTTTGCCGCCCAGATCCTTTTCAAGGGAGTAAAATTGACAGCTGCAAACTCAACTATTTGTAGTAGATAGAATTAACTAGTAGTAGATAGAAAAAGAGTTTCAGGGCAAAAGTTATTTCCTTTAACGGGAACTGTTGGTTGGCAAAGGATTTATTAAGCGTTTATATAATTAGAACAAAAATTTATGAACGAAACTATAAATAATCTGTTTTAATTCATTTTTTCACGGAAATCTTAACCGATGGTTTAAATAATTATGAAACGACATACTTCTTTTTAACACAAATACAGGCTTTATCGTATTGGTGAATTATGTTCCTCGTAAATCGAAGAACTTTTGAATCTTGTGTATTATATAAATATTTCTTTTTATAACTTTTCCTAATTATGTGAACAATTCATAAATCTTTTATCAAATTACAGTCCTAATTAAGAGATGTAACTTTTGCCTCAAAACCTTTTCTGTCTCTCTGTCTCTGTCTGTCTGTCTGTCTCTCTCTCTCTCTCTCTCTCTCTCTC